CTGCAAAGGGGGGGGGCAAAACCCTCGGGGGTCCTGGCGGGCGACTCCTCGGAGGAAGAACTGGGAGAAAAAGGGGACGGGGTCCAATCCGGGGCTGACGGTTCTGATGTGGAGGCGAGATACAGGCCCAGCGTCTCCCACAGGTGCCTCTGGACAGTCGGGGGGCTTCGTCGGACGAAGGAGGCCAGGTGTCCGAAACACCCCCGGAAGCCCGTGGTGTAGCAGGCTCGTAGGCCGCCGTCTTTGGAAGGATTCGCACCTGGAACGGGAAATCGCACAGCTGGTCACGGCCAACCCGAGGCAGGGCAGCCCCCACCCGGCAACGATGCTATTGTAGGATCAAGCTGGAGGGCAATTGGGGGACCCTTACTCAGGCCTTGAAACATCCGCAAACTCTTTACAAACTGCCGAGAGGCCCGACGTCTGTACGCTATTTAACCCGGTCACTTGACTTCCCAACGCATCAAACCAGTCGAGTCCGATGAGGCTAGTGCGGTTGCCCTCGACTACGACGACTTCCACGGGAGCCTTGAAGATCCTGAACTGCACCCCAAGTGTGGCCTCCCCTTTTACTTTTACACGGGAGTTTTGGAAAATCGGTTCGAACAGACATGTCAAACACAAGGCCCGGGGGCTGGATGCGGCCCACAAAATGGTTTCATGTGGCCTGCCAAGCCATCCTGGAAAAAGCGGGGAACGGCTCCCGCTGCCTTGGCCCTCGCCCAGGCCGGCCTAGAGGGAGCCAATGTACAATTGTGTGGTGGCCATCTACAGTCGTAAATCACATTCCCCAATTAGCTTGAAGCGCGGGCTTCCTCTCCAGCTCTCCAGCCCGCGAATTCCTCATCAGCTCTGGTTACAATAACCTTGATTCTCAGCTAGGTTTAGTGTTGCTATGTCTAACTGGACTCTCGTTCACATCCAATGTACAATTTTGTGGTGTCCATCTATGCTGAACCGCATTCAGTCTTAGCTCCACAAGGCCGTCCGGAAACAGCGAGGGACCAGCCCCTGCTGCATCGGCCCCGTCCCCTGGATGCATGCTGGGGAGGGGTCACCCTTTGTGAGGAATGAAAAAATGGACCACGCCTTGGTGCTTGCCCCAGTCCCCCCCCCTTCTGCCAGAGACCCTCAGATCTGTCCCACTCCTGCCCAGGCACCCACAGGCACCCTTGACGCCAACGATGTAGAGCTGGCTATGCCCACCAAGTAGGCCACACCCACTCCATCCATGCCCACCCAGTAGGCCACACCCACCCTGGGTGCACCCACCCCGAGGGCAACCGTAATGCCGATGAGGCCCCCAATGAAATTGAGTTTGACATCCCTGGGTTAGAACGAGGTTCGACGGCCTGAGCTTCACTCACTTGCCTCTTCGGCTCCAAATTTGCTGGAGTGTCCTTTGGGAAATTATTGATAAGGCGGACCCCGTGTCCAACTCCGTGTCAGAAGGGACCCCTTGCAACTTGCACTGGGTCAAAGAACACAATAAGGAGAAAAGCAACCTAGAACTAAGGAGAAACTTCCTGACAGTGAGAACAATTAACCAGTGGAACAACCTGCCTCCAGAAGCGGTAAATGCTCCAACACTGGAAGTTTTTAAGAAGAGACTGGACAGCCATTTGTCCGAAATGGTGTAGGGTTTCCTGCCTGAGCAGGGGGTTGGACTAGATGACCTCCAAGGTCCCTTCCAACTTTACTACTATTACTATTACTAAGGTTTGTCTGGCACGATCTGTTTTTGAAAAAAAAAACATGTTGGCTTTTAGTAATGAGTTTGTTTGCCTCCTTGATATGACTTAATTAAAAGAATGAAATCAAAGCACCAGATACATGGCAGAACAGGCTGAGCGGGGCATCCACGGACAATTAAAAAAGATTATTTATGATTTGCCGTGCACAAAGAAAAGGGCAATGATGCTTTGTGGCAGAAGTGAGCCAGCGAAGAGCACGTGCTCCAATCCCGCCCAGCTACAAATTAGCCCTCGACTTACCGCCCTTGTGGTAGTTTAGTGACTGTTCCAAGTTACAACGGCACTGAAATAAGTGATACGTCTGTTTTTTTTTCACACCTACGACCGTCGCAGCACCCCCCGGATCCCGAGATCAAAATTCAGAGGCTCGGAAACTGCAGTGTCCCGCGGTGATGCGATACTCTTTTGCAATTTTCCCAGAAGCAAAGTAAACGGGGGGGGGGGAGGCAGCTTCACTTAACAACCGGGTTACTAACTGAACTGCGGTGACTGGGTTAACAGTAGCAAGGGAGGTCGTAAAATGGGACCAAACTCTCTTAGCAAGCAGCCTTGCTTCACGGTGGAGATTTTGGGGTCCTGTCAGAATCCAATCATATTTCATCTTTAATTATCAAATATAGAAACTCCCAATTCTGCCTTCTTTGGATTCTGCCATAAGAGGGAGAGAAGGGGGAGAACAAAGGGGCTTTATGGCCCTCACTTCCTTCAGTACACTTCAAAGAGCTGAATGCTGAATGTGTGTTTATTGTAACATCAAAGCGTTAGCACTAGAGGACCTTATCATAACAAAGCAGGGTATTTGCCTTTCATGTAGTTACCTGAAGTCTCCATCCAGACGGAAGAAAGAAGAAAGGGGGTGGAATTGTGATACTTGAAACTATCACTGGAAGGGGGGTTGATTGGGTGGGACTACTGGGGAACCCCTTAAAACCTTGAATGGGAGAGCTTGAACCCCAAGTCCTGTCTAGCATGCCTGCAACCATTTTCTCTTAATAAAGGATTCCTGTTGGAAGAATTATTCCAAGAGTTCTGTCTTCTTAAGATGCAAAGTGGGGTGGGTCCTTACAGGTCCGTTGTGGCCGTGAGCCGAGGACTATCCGCATCCGGAGTTCCCCATTTCTCTTGTCTGCAAATGGTCTACGATCTCCTGCTTGAGCTAGAAGACCCCCAACGGGTCTCCCAGCTCTATTCTGATTAATTCATTGATTTATTGATTGATTAGGTCGGGTCTCCTGCTTGAGCAAGGGGCTGGACTAGAAGACCTCCAAGGTGCTCCTAGCTCTGTTCTGAGTCAGAGAAAGAATGCTTCCCACCTCATTCCGATTTAGCTTCACGTCAGCTGCCAAAACGTCTATTTTTTTAGCTGTAAATTGGGTCAAAAAATACCATGGTTTTTTAAAAATAATATTTTATTAATTTTTTGCAATTTTACATTTAAGTCTTTAGGAAGCAGCGTGGTGACTGGGTTACATTTAAGTAGTTAAAAAGCAGCGCGGTGACTGGGTTAATCCGTAGTTCGATAACAAAATCTTTCGTCAAAATCGCCCCTGGCAACATCAAATATTTCTTCTCTTTTTCCCCTGAATGTTTACTGTCTCATGTTCAAGCTAGTACGGTTCTTATTATGTCAACTCAATAAGAGCATCATTATTACATTTATCAATAAAGCAAAGAATACAATTACTGGGGGGGGGGAGCAAAAAATCTAAGCGTGTTCGTCTTTATTGGGTAAATCTTACTTGTATTTGACCGACATCATCTGGAAGCTAGGATGTCGCAGAAGATTGAAAGAATAACGAGAAAAAAATCAAGTTACCCAGATAGGTGATGTTTTTAATTTAAGTTTTTATTGGAATAAATGAAAGGGACTTGATTCTATGCCTCTGTGAATAGAATAGAATAGAATAGAATAGAATAGAATAGAATAGAATAGAATTACAGGATAGAATAGAATAGAATAGAATAGAATAGAATAGAATAGAATAGAATAGAATAGAATAGAATAGAATAGAATAGAATAGAATAGAATAGAATAGAATAGAATAGAATAGAATAGAATAGAATAGAATAGAATAGAATAGAATTACAGGATAGAATAGAATAGAATAGAATAGAATAGAATAGAATAGAATTACAGGATAGAATAGAATAGAATAGAATAGAATAGAATAGAATTACAGGATAGAATAGAATAGAATTACAGGATAGAATAGAATTACAGGATAGAATAGAATAGAATTACAGGATAGAATAGAATTACAGGATAGAATAGAATAGAATAGAATTACAGGATAGAATAGAATAGAATAGAATAGAATTACAGGATAGAATAGAATAGAATAGAATAGAATAGAATAGAATTACAGGATAGAATAGAATAGAATAGAATAGAATAGAATAGAATAGAATAGAATAGAATAGAATAGAATAGAATAGAATAGAATAGAATAGGATTTGATTTGATTCAATTCAATTCCATTTCTGTGTTGCCAAGCACCTGAATTTTTTTTATGTTGTCATTTGATATTTTATTCATTTTTTATAGTCATCAATCCTGAATATTTTATCAGCAACATATTGTCTGGGTTCCAGTGTTTAGCTCTCTACCTCGTTTTTCTAGCCATTGATAAAATGTGCCCCATGTTCTAAAGTCTTCCGAATCTTCTTTGTCTTTCATTTTCGGGGTCAGTCTGTCCGTTTCTGCACCGTCTAAAATTTTCTTCATTATACCTTCCTCCTCTGAGGTTAGCAAAAATGCTTAAAGATATCTCTAGCCATTGCTGGAAAATGTAGACCAAAACCAGGCACCTGCTATCCCCTTCAATGGACGTGCCTGAAAGCCGAAAGATTTTGGTCAAGAATACATATACAGTTAGAGAAAACGACTAAAAGACACACACACACACACACACACACACACACACAGATTTTTAAGCCAGAATTATTTTTGGTTAAGGTGCTGCTGTAGGAAATTGTGAGAAGGACTGCGTTAATCGTACGTGGATTAACTGAGAATTGTATTTGCACAAGATTGGAAGGATGAAGAATGTACCAAGCATCTGGATTTTGATCACCTGACCCTGGGGATGCTGCAATGGTCGTAAGTGTGAAAAGAAAACGGTCATAAGTTACGTTTTCAGTGCCGTGGTAGCTTCGAACGGTCACCAAGCAAATAGTTGTAACTTGAGGACTGCTTATATTCCTTTCCTCCCCTATCCATCTCTTTATTTTGCTTCAACCCTGTAGGTTTTCGTCCTATTTCAACATCTCCTGCTCATGCGTTGAGGTCCTGACCCATCATGGAGACCTCAACCTAGTTTTCTTTCCGCCATGCCGGAGATTTTTCCTCTAAGGAATGAAAGGAAGGACCTCAGTTAGGCTACTGGGACAAGGTTTGTGGAAGAAGAATAGAGGAGGAGGAGGAAAAACTGGAGAGAAGGAGGAGGAGGAGAAGAAGGAGGAGGAGGAGGAGGATGGCCCTTCTTCTGAGTTGACTTGGAGGAATCTGGGTGTAACTTATAAGGGGAGGACAGCCAGTTCTGAGGCAGTTCTCTTCTCCTCCTCCTCCTCAATCCTTCCTCAATCCTTCCTCAACCTGCTTCTTTCCTTCTTCTCTGTCCCACCACCAGCAGGATGGATCAGAACGGATCTTCTCAGAACCCAACGGTGATCTACATGGCTGAAGTGACAACGGGGCAAGGTCTTTCAACGGGGACTTCAGATTTGATCTCCATCACCTTGGTGGGCACCAACGGCGAAAGCCCCAAGAGGTATCTGGACCAGATTGGGATGACCTGCTCTCTAGGATCGGTAAGATTTGGGTTCAAGTCCCAAGAGAAGGAAGTTTGGGAGATGGTATCGTAGCTCCTGGAATGGGTTTCGGTCCAGAGGGAGACAGAGTAACAGAATAACAGAATTGAAAAGGACCTGGCAGGTCTTCTATAATAATCTATATCCTGTTTTTAAGCTTTACTAATTACCGTCGTCATTCTCCAATTACATTTTAGTAAATATATAGTTGGGATTTCAGGTATCCTTAATAATAGATTATTCATTGCGACTGATTTTTTTTCCCTATCGCAAATAGCTCTTCCTCTCTCTCTGTTACAACATAATTATCTTATTTAAAATAATAATGTAAGTCCTTAAATGAATGTTAAGTCCTTACATTATTAAAATAATCGTGTAAGTTTACACCTTCAAAGACTTATCAACTGTAATATCAGGAAATTCCCATCCTTCGTTCATAATTAAGTCAGACAAACTCTCTCTCTCTATTACAACATAATTATCATATTTAAAATTATAATGTAAGTCCAAAACATACATTTCTATTTTTAAACATATATTCTATCATTTCATCAATCTACATCTATAAAGTCTTTTTTACCCCCTAGAAGGTTTACTCCCTCAAATAATTATCAACTACAACAAGACTAAATTCACATCCACATTATTAAATCAGACAAAATCTCTAAGGCAGTGTTTCTCAACCTTGACAATTTTAAGGCATGTGGACTTCAACTCCCAGAATTCCACAGCCAGCATTGCTGGCTGTGGAATTCTGGGAGTTGAAGTCCACATGCCTTAAAATTGTCAAGGTTGAGAAACACTGCTCTAAGGCCTTTTTAACCCACCAAGTAACATTTTAGGTCACATTTAAACCTGACTCTAGCTTTCTTTCTGTGCCAAGCGGGTTCCCATATTAAAGCTTTTCGGTTATCAAACCTAAAGTTCGATCTTCTGAAGGGGGACCAGGTTCAATCTTCTTGAGATGATGCGCCTGCTGCTAGAGACAGGCTGGAATGTCTGGAGGTTGGGATGGAGCCTTCATCTACTAGAGTAGGGTGTCCAACCTTGGCCCCTTTAAGACTTGTGGACTTCAACTCCCAGAGGAGGAAGAGGTGGAGGAGGAGGAGGAGGAGGGGATGGAAATGGAGAAGGAGCAGGGAGAGGAGGAAGAAGAGGAGGAGGAAGAGGTGGAGGAGGGGATGGGAATGGAGGAGGGGAGAGGGAGGAAGAGGGGAGGAGGAGGGGGAGGGGGAAGGGGAGGAGGAGGGGGAGGGGGAAGGGGAGGAGGAGGGGGATGGAAAAGGAGGAAGAGGAGAGGGAAGGGCAGGGACAGGAGGGGCTAGGGGAGGAGGAGGAGGAGGGTGGAGGAGGAGGAGGAGGAGGAGGAGGAGGGGAATGGAGGAGGGGGAGGGGAGAGGAGGAAGAGGGGGAGGAAGAGGGGTCTGGAGGTTGGGATGGAGTCTTCATCTACTAGAGCAGGGTATCCAACCTTGGCCCCTTTAAGACTTGTGGACTTCAACTCCCAGAGGAGGAAGAGGTGGAGGAGGAGGAGGAGGAGGAGGGGATGGAAATGGAGAAGGAGCAGGGGGAGGAGGAAGAAGAGGAGGAGGAAGAGGGGGAGGAAGAGGGGTGGAAATAGAGAAGGAGCAGGGGAGGGGGAACAGGGATAGGAATGGAGGAGGGGGAGAGGGAGGAAGAGGGGAGGAGGAGGGGGGATGGAAGAAGAGGAGAGGGAGGGGCAGGGACAGGAGGGGCTAGGGGAGGAGGAGGAGGAGGAAGAGGTGGAGGAGGAGGAGGAGGGGATGGGAATGGAGGAGGGGGAGGGGGAGAGGGAGGAAGTGGGGGGAGGAGGGGGTGGAAATAGAGAAGGAGCAGGGGAGGGGGAACAGGGATGGGAATGGAGGAGGGGGAGAGGAAGGAAGAGGGGAGGAGCAGGGGGGATAGAAGAAGAGGGGGAGGAGGGGCAGGGACAGGAGGGGCTAGGGGAGGAGGAGGAGGAAGAAGAGGTGGAGGAGGAGGAGGAGGGGATGGGAATGGAGGAGGGGGAGGAGGAGAGGAGGAAGAGGGGGAGGAGGGGCAGGGACAGGAGGGGCTAGGGGAGGAGGAGGAGGAAGAAGAGGTGGAGGAGGAGGAGGAGGGGATGGGAATGGAGGAGGGGGAGGGGGAGAGGAGGAAGAGGGGGAGGAGGGGCAGGGACAGGAGGGGCTAGGGGAGGAGGAGGAGGAAGAAGAGGTGGAGGAGGAGGAGGAGGGGATGGGAATGGAGGAGGGGGAGGGGGAGAGGAGGAAGAGGGGGAGGAGGGGCAGGGACAGGAGGGGCTAGGAGAGGAGGAGGAGGAGGAGGAGGAGGAGGAAGAGGAGGAGGAGGAAAGGGAACTGGGGAAAGGAGAAAAGCGAAGGGCGAAGGGAAGAGGCTGGCTGGGGAATTCTGGGAGTGGAAGTCCACAAGGGACCAAGGTTGACCGAACACCTGGCAGGGCAACATGGACCACCCGTAACACCACCACATTTCTCCTCCTCCGGGGATCCCGACTCTCTCTCTCTCCTCGCTTCCCCAACAGGTGGCGGAGGTGGACATTCCATGCGACCGGGACTTGGGACCCATCTTGCTGATCCGCCTGCAGAAGGAGCCCTATTCCTGTTTCCCCGAGAGCAGCTGGTACTGCAGCAAGGTCCAAGTGACCAGTCCTCAAGGAGAGCTCTTCCGCTTCCCCTGCTACCAGTGGATCGAGGGTTACTGCACCGTCTCCTTCAGAGAAGGAACAGGTGAGTAGCTACGCTAGGTCGGAGGAGCAGACCTCGGGCGAGATGAGTGGGTCTTCGGCACTCCCACACTCCACTTACGACCACCGTGGAGCCCGACGTCTCTGTTGCTAAGCAAGACGGTTCTTAAGTGAGTGTTGTCCCATTTTAGGACCTTTCTGGCCACAGGGTGACTCAACTGGGGAAGATCGTGAGTGGTAGAAGGGCCTGGGGCTGGCTCTCCGGTGATGCACGCGTGGGAATGGTGACATTCCCTAGCTGGGTCATGAGATGTCTACAAGAACACCACCCAGCTCAGAGAGCACCAAGGACCCCACAGTCATCCTCCTCCTCTTCCTCCTCCTCCTCTTGCTGCTGCTGTCTCCACAATCCCCCCTCCCTTCCATCACTGCTTATGTTCCCTAGTCCAGGGCTTTTTAACCAGTGGTACGGGTACCCCCTGTGGTCCATTGGCACCTGGCAGGTGGTACACGAGCATCCTAGAAAAGGGGTAGCAGGGGAGGGGAATGACCTGAACCGGGGGCAGCACCGCACAAGCCTGAGCGAGAGACGGCTGGAGCTGCAGGGCTGTCAGGGCTCAGCGGAGGCACCAGGATCAGAAGAAGCGCCAATATATGAGCCGAGGTGGCGCAGCAGTTAGGGTGCAGTACTGCAGGCCACTTTAGCTGACTGTGTTCAGCAGGTCAGCGGTTCAAATCTCACCGGCTCAAGGTTGACTCAGCCTTTCATCCTTCCGGGGTAGGTAAAATGAGAACCCAGATTGTTGGGGGCAATGTAAATATATATATATATACATTGCTTACTGGTGTACACCGCTTAGAGAGTGCTTGCACTTAAAGCGGTATATAAGTCTCATAAATAAATAAGTCTCATAAATAAAATCAGCTGGAGCTCAGCACTGATCCTGGCGCTTCCGCTGAGCCCAGAAGAAGCACCAATCAGCTGGAATGTTGCAGCCTCTCCAGGCTCTTGTGATTGGACCCCTTGCTAGGCGACTGGTGGTCCTCGGATGTTGCCATATCCTAAAAGTGGTACAATGTGAAAAAGTTGAAAAGCCCTGCCCTCATTGGGTCATGAAACATCTGCAAGAAAACCACCCAGCTCAGAGAGTAACAAGGACCCCATTCTGCTTCTCCTCCTCCTCCTCCTGCTCCTGCTCCTCCTCCTCCTCCTCCTCCTCCTCCTCCTCCTTCCACAATCCCCTCTCCCTTCCATCACTGATGACGTTCCCTAGTTGGGTCATAAAATGTCTGGAAGAAAACCACCCAGCTTAGAGAATAACAAGGACCACATTCTCCTCCTCTTCCTCCTCCTCCTCTTCCTCCTCCTCCTCCTCTTCCCCTCCTCCTCCTCCTCCTCCTCCTCCTCTTCTTCCTCCTCCTCCTCCTCCCTTTTAGCACTGATTATGTTCCCTAGCTGTGTCATGAAACATCTGCAAGGAAACCACCCAGTTCAGAGAGCACCAAGGACCCCACAGTCCTTCTCCTCCTCCTCCTCCTCCTCCTGTCTCCACAATCCCCTCTCCCTTCCATCACTGATGACATTCCCTAGTTGGGTCATGAAATGTCTGCAAGAAAACCACCCAGCTCAGAGAGCACCAACGATCCCACCATTCAACCCTTGACCTACCTACTTTCGTCTCCTGCCTTCGCACCCTTCTCAGGGTTTAGCAGGGAACAGACCAGCCTCTTTGTCGACTGCTAGGAAGGTGCGTGGGAAGAAAACCAGGAACCGCCTCCCCCCTCGCACAGGTGCCGACATATCGGTTGTAAAGGGGAACCTGTCCCTTCGCCGGAGTTCCTTTCCACCTCTCCCTTGCTTTTTCAATAAAACTGGCTAAAGAAAACTCGCCGGGAATCGCAGGAGCCGGGATGGGCGTCTGGGCAAAGGAGAGGAGCCCAGGTGGGTCTTTTCCCTGATTCCCTGCCTTTTTTTTTTTTTTAAACCCTACAGCTCACAAGCCTTCGGACGACACTCACCCTCTTCAGCAGAGGCATCGCCAGGAGGAGCTGCAGCTGCAACAGCGCACATATGGGTGAGTCAGGAAGATGGTGGAGCCTTGGGAGTCATCGTTTTAAAACTCCAGCATCCCCCTTTGGGCCCATTGAGGCAAAGAGTTTCTCAATCTGGGCCATGTGAAATGGGTGGACTTCAACGCCCAGAATGCCCCAGCTAGCATTGCTGGCTGGGGCATTCTGGGAGTTGAAGTCCCCTCCCCCACCCCCACCCATGTTAAAGACGCCCAGGTTGTGAAAACCCAACTAGATGATCTCCAAGGTCCCTTCCAAGTCTTCCTCTCTATCAGTCTAACTCAGTGGTTCTCAACCTTTTTAATGCCGTGACCCCCAACCGGTCGTAAGTCGAGGACTACTCAACCGGTCGTAAGTCAAGGACTATTCTACTGGTGCAGCACTGTTTGCAGAATGGGACTTTTGGCGGGCTCAGCAGGGAAGAGACAGCCTGGACAATTCCTATTGGCTTTTGAAAGCCAATAGAATTAAACTCTATTCAAGAGAGTCTGTTCTATTGGCTTTCAAAAGCCAAGAGAATAAAAGGGAGTAGCACAGCTAAGGAAAAGGGGGGGAAAAATGGCAGACTGCGTTGTTTGGCAACCCCCGTGAAATGGTCGTTCGACCCCAAATGGGGTCCTGACCCACAGGTGGAGAACCACTGCTCTAACTCCTACGATTCCTCCCGGCTGCCATACAACCAATTGGAGAGGATGCTGGGAGTTGTAGTTTAGAGGGAGACCTATGAGGATCTCGGTCTTGATCAAGAGGGATAGAGAGCAGGGCTTTTCAACCTTTTCACCCACTGTACCACTTTTAGGATATGGCAACATCCGAGGACCATAGCAAGGTGTCCATAATTTGATGACCCCCCCCAAAAGGAAAAAAAGTGATAAAGTACAGGTAGTCCTCGACTTACAATGGTTCTCTTAGTGACTGTTAAAAGTTACAATGGCCCTGAAAAAAGTGCCCCCCAAGCCACAGCCGAGCAAGACACCTGCCTGCCCGCTCAGTGGCGCTCTTCCTCCTGTCCGAGGTTTCCATTGTTGTGAGGCATTTCTGTTGAGGATTGGCAGCGGGAGTGGGGTGGGGGGGGCTGTTTGGTTTTTATCCCCCCCCCCCCGTCTGCTGGGTGGTTGCAGCAGCTTTTGGTCCCTTCACATGACCCTGGGACACTGTGACCGTTATAAATATGAATCGGTTGCCAAGCATCTGAATGTCAATCACAAGACCCTGGAGAGGCTGCAACGTTCCAGCTGATCAGCGCTTCTTCTGGGCTCAGCGGAAGTGCCAGGATCGGTGCTGCTTTCCAACTGATTGGTGCTTTTTAAAGGCTCAGCAGAAGCTCCAGGATCAGTGCTGAGCTCCAGCTGGAGCCTGGCGCTGATCCTGATGCTTCTGCTGAGCCCTGACAGCCCTGCAGCTCCAGCCGTCTCTCGCTCAGGCTTGTGCAGTGCTGCCACCGGTTCAGCTCATTCCCCTCCCCTGCTACCCTTTTTCTAGGATGGTCACGTACCACCTGCCAGGTGCCAATGTACCACAGGTAGTACCCGTACCACTGGTTGAAAAGCCCTGATATATAGTATTTCTTAAATAACAACAACAACAACAACAACAATATCCAAAGCGCCTGAAGGCAGGACAAGAAGCAACGGATGGAAACTCATCAAGGAGAGAAGCAACCTGGAACTAAGGAGGAATTTCCTGACAGTTAGAACAATTAACCAGTGGAACTACCTGCCTCCAGAAGCGGTGAATGCTCCAACACTGGAAGTTTTTAAGAAGAGACTGGACAGCCATTTGTCCGAAATGGTATAGGGATACCTGCCTGAGCAGGGGGTTGGACTAGATGACCTCCAAGGTCCCTTCCAACTTTATTATTATTATTATTATTATTATTATTATTATTATTATTATTATTATTATTATCGATCATCGCACAGTCAACCAGATGTTCAGACTGGATTTGGCATTTTGTCTACCTATCGAGTTCTTACCCAGGACCTGGGATAGGCAGATGTGGATGTTTGATGGTATTACAGGTATCGTCGCAGGATGGAAGCAGTTTCTAGTAAGGCCGCCTTTTACAATTGACTAATAGCGAATTTGTCAATGCCAATGGTGTTCAAGTGGTGCTCCAGTTGTTTTGGGATTGCACCCAAGGAGTCTATTACTACCCTTGCTTGCTTTTGCCACAGTCTTTCTATTTCTATTTGTAGGTCTTTATATTTTGTTATCTTCTCCAGTTCTTTCTCTTCTATTCTGCTGTCTCCAGGCACTGCCACGTCCACTCTCCAGACTTTTTTGTCTTTCTTATCGACAATTGTTAAGTCTGGGGTGTTATGTTGCAGGTGCTTGTCTGTTTGAATTCTGAAGTCCCAGAGCAGTTTAATTTTATCATTTTTCTATGACTTTCTCTATTTTATGATCCCACCAGTTTTTGCTTACAGGCAAATGATATTTTTTGCAGATCTTCCAATGCACCATTGTTGCTACTTTGTCATGCCGCTGCTTGTAGTCAGTCTGTGCAATCTTCTTGCAACAGCTTACCAAGTGGTCCACTGTTTCTTCAGCTTCTTTGCATAGGCAGCACTTACTGTCTGTTGCTGTCTTCTCAATTTTGACTTTATATGCCTTTGTCCTTAAGGCTGGGTCTTGTGCAGCCAGAATTAGTCCCTCGGTCTCTTTCTTTAATTATTATTATTATTATCATTATCATCATCATTATTATACCAAGTTGCTAAATTAATCCACTGGGCATTGCGTAAAAAATACGACCTGCCTGTGTCCGAAAAGTTATGGGAACCTAGAGTGGAAAAAGTTGTCGAGAATGAGAGGGTGAAGATCTTCTGGGACTTTCGAATACAGACAGATCGCCATTTGGAACACAACACGCCGGATATCGCAGTTGTAGAGAACCAAAGCGTACAGCTGATTGACATCGCTGTATCAGAAGATGCCAGAGTTGAAGAAAAAAAATTACGAAATATCATGACCTGGCCATCGAAACTGTGCGATTATGGATGAAACGTGTCTAATGAATAAATAATAATAATAATGGTAATAATAATATAATAATAATAATAATAATAATAAAGTTGAGAGGGACCTTGGAGGTCATCTAGTCCAGCCCCCTGCTCAGGCAGGAAACCCTATACCATTTCAGACAAACAACAACAAAAATAACAATAATAATAATGGAGGTCATCTAGTCCAACCCCCTGCTCAGGCAGGAAACCCTATACCATTTCAGACAAACAACAACAACAACAACAACAACAACAATAATAATGGAGGTCATCTAGTCCAACCCCCTGCTCAGGCAGGAAACCGTATACCATTTCAGACAAATAACAATAAGAACAATAATAATAATAATAATAATAATGGAGTTCATCTAGTCCAACCCTCTGCTCAGGCAGGAAACCCTATACCATTTCAGACAAGTGTCTGGGGCCTTCCCAAGTTCTGGGACTACAGGACCCATCACCCTAAGCCACTGGGTCAAGATGGTGTAGTGGATCACTGTTTATTGCCCCAAAGCATCGCCGGAGTAAGCAGAGTGCGCTTTATTCTATTGAAGTAATAAATAATAATAATAATAAAGTTGGAAGGGACCTTGGAGGTCATCTAGTCCAACCCCCTGCTCAGGCAGGAATCCTCTCTCAATTGTTCTCGCAAAATATATGTACCAAGCTGTGTGTTGTCCACTTTGTCGGCAATTTGAAGAGGTGGGGACTCTGGGAGTTTATCTAAAACAGGGACAATTTCTCTGCACACAGGTGGAAGGAATACCTGCCCGGTATACCTTGGTGTTCTGACGTCGAATCAATTGTCAGAACTGAAGACAACATTACGTACTCCATCCCTAAGTCCACGGCCTTTTTCGGACGTTCAGCGACTTCGTAAGTGTCCGGGGTGGGTGGGCTTTACTAGCAAGTCCCCCCAGTAAGGGTCCCGTGGGCTGGGAAGCTACGCAGGATTGCTGAAGAGCTGGAGGGGAGACCACTAAGAGATGCCAGGGGCGGTTGGAGAGAGGGAGAGAGCCTCCTGCAGAAGGCAAAAGCCCAGCACCTCAGGGGTTCTTCTCCAGGGGGTCCTTAGGGAGGGAGAGAGAGAGAGAGAATTGATGGATAAGTAGGGTGGATGGATGGATGGATGGATGGATGGAGATAGATAGATATGGATAGATAGATAGATAGATAGATAGATAGATAGATAGATAGATAGATAGATGGATGGATGGATGGATGGATGGATGGATGGATGGATGGACGGACGGACGGACGGACGGACGGACGGACGGACGGGCAGGCAGGCAGGCAGGCAGGCAGACAGACAGACAGACAGACAGACAGATAGATAGATAGGGGTAGATGGATGGATGGATGGGTAGATAGATAGAGAGAATTGATGGATAAAGAGGATGGATGGAGAGAGAGAGAGAGAGAGAGATAGGGATGGATGGATGGATGGATTGATGGGTGGGTAGATAGATAGATAGAGAGATACGATATATTGATGTAGATACATAGATTAGATGATAGATGATAGATACAGAGAGACAGACAGACGGAGAGACTGACAGACAGACAGACAGACAGACAGACAGACAGACAGACAGACAGATAGATAGATAGATAGATAGATAGATAGATAGATAGACAGAAAGAGAGAGAGATATGATATATTGATGTAGATACATAGATTAGATGATAGATACACACACACACACACACAGAGACAGAGAGATGGATGGATAGATATAGAAACAGACAGATATAGCTAGATGGATGGATAAGATTATAGCCAGACATGCAAAACCATGAGGTCCCTGAAAGTGTATATATATCTATCCACCCATCCCTCCCTTCCTCCCGCCATCCACCCATCCACCTATCAATCCATCCATCCATCCATCCATCCATCCATCCATCCATCCATCCATCCACTTTTCATCCTCCATCCCTCCATCTTTCCATCCACCCACCCATCCACTCATCCATCTTTCCATCCACCCATCCCTCCATCCCACCGGACACCGAAGGTCTCCCAACTAAGTCCGCCAGGGGTCGCTCTCCCTCCTTCCTTTCCTTTTGAGCTTCTTCCCACCAAACGCTCCGTCTCTTCTTCTTCTTCTTCTCCTCCTTCTCCTCCCCGTCAGCCGCTTTGAGGCCAAAATGAAGGGCTTCCTCGACAGGCCTTACTCTTGGGAGAAGCTGGAGGACATCCGCAAAATCTTCTGGTTCCAGCACAATCCCGTCTCAGGTCAGTGATGGTACACAATGATACACTCACACCTCCCACAACTCCTTGCCCCAGAACCGGTAACGCCACTTTGCTCAAACCAGGTATAGCTTGTCTCTGGCAGAAGGTGTGACGTCTGCAGGTCTGAAAATAGGCTGGCTGGGGCATTCTGGGAGTGGAATTCCACCTGTCTTAAAGCATGCAGCCTGGGGCATTCTGGGAGTGGAAGTCCACCCCTCTTAAAGCAGGCTGGCTGGGGCATTGTGGGAGTTGAAGTCCACCCCTCTTAAAGCAGGCTGGCTGGGGCATTCTGGGAGTTGAAGTCCACCCCTCTTAAAGCAGGCTGGCTGGGGCATTCTGGGAGTGGAAGTCCACCCGTCTTAAAGCATGCAGCCTGGGGCATTCTGGGAGTGGAAGTCCACCCCTCTTAAAGCAGGTTGGCTGGGTGATTCTGGGAGCTGAAGTCCACCCCTCTTAAAGCAGGCTGGCTGGGGCATTCTGGGAGTGGAAGTCCACCCCTCTTAAAGCAGGCTGGCTGGGACATTGTGGGTGCTGAAGCCCACCCACCCATTGCCCAGTGTGAGAAACACCAGCTCTTTCTGTGGGGAAAGCTCCATTGGAGGAGAATCTGCCGATTGGGAACCTAGCCGTGTTGTACTACACCCTTCATCATCCTGGGCTCCCTCCCTTGGGCCTTTTTTTTTTTGCAGAGTACGTCTTTAAGCACTGGAAGGACGATGCTTTCTTTGGGTACCAGTTCCTGAACGGAATCCACCCCATGAAAATCCAGAAATGCACCACTATCCCGGAAAACTTCCCCGTGACCCAGGAAATGGTGGCAGGAACTTTGGGACAAACGACAACCCTACAGGAGGAACTGGAGGTGATTCTTTTCCCACCCTGGTGGTCTTCTAAGGCTCAGGGACAGACACACAAACATACACACCGCAGGTTGTGCCTGGGTGTGTGTAGGTGTGTGTGTGTGTGTGTGTGTGTGTGTGTGTGTGTGCGCGTCTCACTGTCAACAAATCCATCTTTAAAATGCTGAGCAGCTCTTGAGCAAGCATGTCAACCAAGGCTGATGAAAATGGCTTATAAGTACGACGCAGATCCAGTTGGTCCTCACCTTACGACTAGAATTGAGCCCAAACTTCCTTTTGCTAAGCCAGACAATTGACTTTGCCTGTCAGGAGGTCACAAAAGGGGATCATGTGACACACACACACACACACACACACACACACACACACACACACACACACCTGGGCCAGGGCGACCATCATAAATACGAACCAGTTGCCAAACGTCCAGAATCTCATCAGGTGACCACGGGGATGCTGATGGCCGTAAATGTGAAAAACGGGTCACTTTAAGTCGCCTTTTTTCGACCCCGTTGCAAATTCAAAAGGTCACACACATACACAAAAAAAACACCCAGTTGTAAGTCCAGGAATTCTCTGTGCTGCTCTTTGTGTGCGACTTTCACAACACCTTCTTTTTTTTCTTGAGATATGTCACTCAGAAACAAACCAAACACTTTCTTGTGCATCTTTTTAAACCTTTTTTAATAGAATAGAATAGAATAGAAAATATAGAATAGAAAATATAGAATAGAATAGAATAGAAACAAACAAAACAAACAGAACACTTTTTGTGCCTCTTTTTTAACCCAATAAGCGAGGTGCCGATCCATTTGTTATCCCCAAAAGGTGCTATTTTTTTTCAGGAGGCAAATAGACTTTTTTTTTGTTTTTCCTTTGAAGATGTTTCGCTTCTCATCCCAGAAGCTTCTTCGGCTTTGACTGGATGGTGGGGCATGGAAGGATTTATATCCTGCCAGACAGCTGGTCATTTGCATCCTTTTAGAGGGTTGTTGAGGGCACCTGAGGTTTACCTGTGTCCTCAGGGTCACCTGAGTGGTGCAAATCACATCCTCTATCTCCAGTCTACAACACAGTCCTTTCAGCAGTTCCAAGAAGGCTCCATGCTTCATTTGCACCACTCGAGTGAATAGAATAGAACAGAACAGAACAGAACAGAACAGAATAGAATAGAATAGAATAATAAAACAAGGAATAGGATAGAATAGAATAGAATAGAATAATAAAACAAGGAATAGAATAGAATAGAATAGAATAGAATAGAATAGAATAGAATAGAATAGAATAGAATAGAATATATGAAATGGGAATAGAATAGAATAGAATAGAATAGAATAGAATAGAATAGAATAGAATAGAATAGAATAGAAAATATGAAATGGGAATAGAATAGAATAGAATAGAGTAGAATAGAATAGAATAGAATAGAATAGAATAGAATAGAATAGAATAGAATAGAATAGAATACAATATGGAATGGTATACAATATGGAATGGAATAAGAATAGAATAGAATAGAATAGAATAGAATAGAATAGAATAGAATAGAATAGAATAGAATAGAATAGAATAGAATAGAAAATATGAAATGGGAATAGAATAGAATAGAGTAGAGTAGAATAGAATAGAATAGAATAGAATAGAATAGAATAGAATCTGGAAGGGACTTTAGAAGTCTTCTAGTCCAGCCCCCTGTTCAAGCAGGAGAACCTATACTGTCTCAGACAAGTGAATGTAGCGTCTTCTTGAAAACCTCCAGTGATGGAGCGCCCACGATTTCTGGTGGCCAGCTGTTCCACTGGTTAATTGACCTCACTGTCAGGAATCTTCTCCTTAATCCCAGGTTGCTTCTCTCCTTGATGAGTTTCCAGCCATTGTTTCTCGTCCTGCCTTCTGGTGCTCTGGAGAATAAGTTGACCCCCCTCTTTTTGAGGCAGCCCCCCAAATACTGGAATACTGCTAATTTTTTATTCATTTTTTTATAGAAAGGAACCATCTACTTGGTGGACTACAAGGTCCTCGAGAACGTCCCCACTACTTTATTAAACAACCAGATGCAATATATTGCTGCTCCTATCTGTCTGCTCCATCAAAAACCCAGCGGAGAACTTCTCCCTCTGGCTATCCAGGTACGTCCATCATTTTTAAAGACCCCATCAGGTAAAGGCAGGTGCCTGCCTGAGGAATTCTGGGAGTTGAAGTCCACGAGTCATCAAAGGGCCCTAGTTCCCTCACGCTGGCTGAGGAATTCTGGGAATTGAGGTCCATGAGTCATCAAAGGGCCACAGTTCCCTCACGCTGGCTGAGGAATTCTGGGAGTTGAAGTCTACGAGTCATAAAAGGGTCATAGTTCCCTCAGGCTGGCTGAGGAATTCTGGGAGTTGAAGTCCACAAGTCTATTACCCTTTGAGGCCTTGTGGACTTCAACTCCCAGAATTCTTCAGCCAGGGTGCCTGGCTGAGGAATTCTGGGAGTTGAAGTCCACAAGTCCTCAAAGGGCCAAGTCTGAAGACCCCTGGGTAAAGGAATCCTGGGCAGGACCCCCCCAGAGTCCCTCCTGCCAATAGAGGGAGTCCTCAATTTACGACCACAGTTGGGAGGGCATCAGCATTTCCGTCGCTAAGCAAGGCAGTTGTTACGCAAGCCAGGCCCAACTCCACGACTTTCCTTGCAAAAGTGGTTAAGCAAATGCCATTGTTTGACGAATTGCATGGCCGTTAAGCGAGGCTGGCTTTTTTCACTGATGGCCAGGAAGGTGGCAATTGTGAGTGTATAAATACACGGCCCTTTGCCAGGCATTTGAAATCTAACCATTGGACCAAGGCGCACCCCCCCCCCCGTTGATTTTGCTGGTCAGACTGGTGCAGAAGAGGATCGTGTGAACCTGGCATGTTGTAACCATCATAAATTCAAGTAACCGGATTTTGATCACATAACTGTAGCGAAGCTTTGATGGTCGTAACTGCGAGGACCGATGGCAAGTGCGTGCATGAGGACCGGTTGTAAGTGTGAAGACTGATCCTAAGTGTGAGGACCGGCCGTAAGTGCGTGGACCGATCGTAAGTGCGAGGACCGATCGTAAGTGCGAGGACTGGCCATAAGTGTGAGGACCGGCTGTAAGTGGGCGGACTGGTTGTAAGTGTGAGGACCGGCCATACATGTGAGGACCTCTCCTCAGTGCGAGGACTGGTTGTAAATACGAGGACCTGTCATAAGTGTACTTTCTGACAGTTAGAACAATTAACCAGTGGAACCACCTGCCTCCAGAAGCGGTGGATGCTCCAACACTGGAAGTTTTTAAGAAGAGCCGTTTGTCCGAAATGGTATACGGTTTCCTGCCTGAGCAGGGGGTTGGACTACATGACCTCCAAGGTCCCTTCCAACTTTATTATTATTATTATTATTATCAATCATCGCACAGTCAGCCAGATGTTCAGACTGGACTTGGCACTTTGTCTACCTATCGAGTCCTTACCCAGGACCTGGGATAGGCAGATGTGGATGTTTGATGATATTACAGATATCGTCGCAGGATGGAAGCAGTTCCTAATAAGGCCGCCTTTTGCAATTGACTAATAGCGAATTTGTCAATGCCAATGGTGTTCAAGTGGTGCTCCAGTTGTTTTGGGATTGCACCCAAGGAGCCTATGACTATTTGTACTACCCTTGCTTGCTTTTGCCACAGTCTTCTATTTCTATTTGTAGGTCTTTGTATTTTGATATCTTCTCCAGTTCTTTTTCTTCTATTCTGCTATCTCTCAGGCACTGCCACGTCCACTATCCAGACTTTTTTGTCTTTCTTATCGACAATTGTTAAGTCTGGGGTGTTATGTTGCAGGTGCTTGTCTGTTTGAATTCTGAAGTCCCAGAGCAGTTTAATTTTATCATTTTCTATGACTTTCTCTATTTTATGATCCCACCAGTTTTTGCTTACAGGCAAATGATATTTTTTGCAGATCTTCCAATGCACCATTGTTGCTACTTTGTCATGCCGCTGCTTGTAATCAGTCTGTGCAATCTTCTTGCAACAGCTTACCAAGTGGTCCACTGTTTCTTCAGCTTCTTTGCATAGGCGGCACTTACTGTCTGTTGCTGTCTTCTCAATTTTGACTTTGTATGCATTTGTCCTTAAGGCTTGGTCTTGTGCAGCCAGAATTAGTCCCTCGGTCTCTTTCTTCAATTTTCCTGCTCTTAGCCATTGCCAGGTTTTATTATTATCTGCTTTCCCAGCTATTTTTTTATGTATTGGCCATGTAGTGCTTTGTCTTCCCATGCCTCTATTCTGTTCTTCATTTGGTCTTTCTTGTAGGCCAGTTTGGTCTCTCCAGTAGTTAGTAAGCCTTCCTGATATACTAATTTCAGTGCATCTTCATCATTGTTCTTCAGATATTCTTCCAAAGCCATTTTTTCTTCTTCAACCATCTGATGTACTTGTAGCATTCCACGCCCACCTATTTGCCGTGGAATGCTATTATTATGTGCATGGACTGCTCATCTGAGGACTGATTATAAGTGCAGTCATAAGTGTATGGACCGGTTGTAAGTACGAGGACTGGCCGTAAGTCACCTTTTTTTCTCAGTGCCGTGGCCGCTTGGAGCAGCCGCTAAGGGAAACGGGCTCCCTCTGAGTCAGGCCGGTTCTCCATCTGGGAGCAGAGGTCTTCTCCAAGCTGAATGTCCCGCTTTGTCCCTCAGCCGGTCCCAACCTCTTCCTCCCGTCTCCCCCTCAGCTCAGCCAGCATCCTGGTCCTCAGAGTCCCATCTTCCTACCCACCGACGATGAGTGGCTGTGGACCTTAGCCAAGACCTGGGTGCGAAACGCCGACTTCCACACCCACGAGGACATCGCCCACCTGCTGCGCAGCCACATGCTGTCCGAGGTCTTCGCGATGGCCACCCTGAGGACCCTCCCCATGTGCCACCCCTTGTACAAGGTGGGAGTCCTGAGGCGGGCTGGGTGGAGGCGACGCTCGGCAGAAGAGCAGGTCCCCCCAATGGTGGGTAGCTCAAGTAACCACGGTTTTCTTCCTCCTTCCCTGCTCCAGCTTCTGATCCCCCACATGTGTTATTCCATCTACGTCGATGTGTTGGCGAGGTCCTTCCTCATCAGCCGAGGTGGCATCTACGATCAGGTAAAACTGGGCTCAGCATGATGGACTCGGTGGAAAAAGGGGCCGAGTTAATCCTGCAGGACCCAACATCGGTAGTCCTCGACTTACAAGCCAGCATTTCCATTGATAAGCAAGAGCTGGTTTGGTGAGTTGCACTCAATCGGACACCCTTTCTTGTGCCGTGGCTGTTCAACAAATTATTGCTGTCGTTAAGTGAACCCTGTGGTTGTTAAGTGAATCCAGTCCTCCCCCTCCCCACACACTGACTTTGTTGGCTGGGAAGCTCCCAAACCGCGATCACGGATCCCCCGGCTTGCTACAGCCGCCATAAATGCATGCTGTTCACCAAGTGTCCAAATTTGGATCACCTGGCCGTGGGGTGGGTGGGCGGGCGTTGTGACGGTCGTAAGGGTGAGGACTGGTCATAAGTCACCATTTTCAGTGCTGTTGGTCGCTAAAAAAAAGGAGACCTTGTATAGGGTTTCCTGCCTGAGCACGAGGTTGGACTAGATAACCTCCAAGGTCCCTTCCGAGTCTTATTCTTCCTTCCTTCCTCCCTCCCTCCCTCCCTCCCTGGAAGTTTTTAAGAAGAGACTGGACAGCCATTTGTCCGAAATGGTACTACAGGATTTCCTCCCTGAGCAGGGGGTTGGACTAAATGACCTCCAAGGTCCCTTCCAACTTGATTATTATTATTAGTAGTAGTAGTATGGATGGAGGAGCTACAAGGAAGATGAAAGGGAGGAAATGGACAGCCTGTCAGTGGGAATGTCACCTGTCTCTTTCGACCGGACCCTCCTCAAGCTGGTCCACAGGCAGTAGGTCAAAAAAGTCAACATGGTGGCCACCACGAAGCCTCCCCCCATTCCTTTTCTGCTTCCTTAACTTCTGCTTTCTTAGAGTTTGGATGATAAGGCTTCATTTTCCCTTTTCTGACCCACCTGGGATATTTCTGGCTTTCTTCTTTGATATGAAATATCAAAATGTAATAAAAAAAATGTGATCATCCGGAAATATGAGCCAGCCAGGTGCGGCAGCAGCTCAAAAAGCCAACACAATCCTAGTCTGTTTAACAGAGCAGGGGGTTGGACTAGAAGACCTCCAGGGTCCCTTCCAACTCTATTATTATTATTGTTGTTGTTGTTGTTGTTATTATTATTATTATTATTATCCAGTTTTCGTCACCACGATATAAAACAGATGTTGAGTGCAGAGAAAAGCAACAAAGATGATGAGGGAGCTGGAGGCTAAAAGATATGAAGAACTGTGGCAGGAATTGGGTATGTCTAGTGAAAGAAAGAAAGAAAGAAAGAAAGGAAGGAAGGAAGGAAGGAAGGAAGGAAGGAAGGAAGAAAAGAAAAGAGAGAGGAAATAAAGAAAGAAAAAAGAAAGAAAGAAAAAGAAAAGAGAAGAAAAAGAGAGAAGAAAGAAAGAAAGAAGGAAGGAAGGAAGGAAGGAAGGAAGGAAGGAAGGAAGGACGGACTAGGGGTGACATAGCAATATTCCAATAATTGAGGGGCTGCCCCACAAAAGAGGGAGTCAAGCTCTTCTCCAAAGCGCCTGAAGGCAAAGACAAGAAGCAACGGATGGAAACCAATCAAGGAGAGAAGCAACCTGGAACTGAGTAGAAATTTCCTGTCAGTTGGCACCGTTAATCAGCGGAACCACCTGCCACCAGAAGTTGCGGGTGCTCCAACACTGGAGGTCTTTAAGAAGAGTCTGGACAGCTGTTTGTCTGGAATGGACTAGGGTCACCTGCTTAAGCAGGGGGCTGGACTAGAGGACCTCAAATGATCCCTCCCAACTCTGCTACTCTGCTTTCTTTTCACAGGCCGTTGCCACCGGGCACCAGGGACTAGCGGTGGTTCTCCAGAGAGGCCTGGCGGAAATGACCTACACGCAGCTTTGCCTTCCGGATGACATCGAAGCCCGGGGGGTGGGCTGCCTCCTCCAGTACTACTACAGGGACGATGGCTTGAAGATCTGGGAGGCCATCCAGAGGTGAAGGAGCTTGGCCAAACCTTCTCCACCTTCAGGTCATCCTCAACTGGGGAAGGGCCGTGGGGAAGGGGCTACAAACCAGCCAGGATCCTCCACCATCATAGTTTAACCTGATTAATGTGGGGTTGCAAGGGTGCTGGATTCGAGTCTCGCACAAGAGGTTTGGAGCCAGGGGTTTCGGCCCCCTCGCTGCGTCTGGAGGCTCTCAAGGTTGAAATGAGGGGTCCTTGGCCGTCTCTGAGCTTGGCTGTTTTCTTGCAGACGTTTCATGACCCAACTAGGGAACATCATCAGGGCTGATGGTCACCATCAAGCTTGTATATAAAAGAGAAGAAACTCCACCCCCTTCTAGCACTGATGACATCTAGTTGGGTCATGAGACGTCTGCAAGAAAACCACCCAGCTCAGAGAGCACCAAGGACCTCACAGTTCTCCTCCTCCTCCTCCCCCCCTCCTCCTCTTCCTCCTCCTCCTCTTCCTCCTCCTCCTCCTCCTCCTCCTCCCTTGTAGCACTGATGATGTAAGCAAGTTGGGTCATGAGACGTCTAAAGGGAAACCATGCGGCTCAGAGAGCACCAAGGACCCCACATTCCTCCTCCTCCTCCTCCTCCTCCTCCTCACGCAACCCCCCTCCCTTCTAGCACTAGTTGGCTCAGGGACCCCTCCCCCCTAACCTTCCCTACTGCTTGGGTGGGGAAAAGGAGCCAGCAGCTCAGCCCCCTTGGCTGGGACAGACCCTCCTCTTCCTCTTCCTCCCTCCCCGCAGCTTCGTCTCGGGCATCGTGGGACTCTACTACAAGAGCGACTCCGAGGTGCAGGGAGATGGTGAGCTGCAGTCCTGGGTGGCCGAGATCTTCGCCAAAGGCTTCCTGAGCAGAGAGACCTCAGGTACATCCCACTCTTGGGAAGTTTGGTCCCACCCTTTCCTGGTGGCCTCCTTTCCACCCTGTACAATACAGGCAGTCCTGGGCTTTCCTCCGTTCCTTTAGCGACCGTTCCGAGTTGCAGCAGCGCCAAAAAACGGATCCAGTGAGTTTTGTGCCATGTTAGGACCTTTCCCCCCCCCACGGTCGTTAAGCGAAACACTGCAGCAGTTAGGAGAATCGGTCAGTCGTTAAGTGAAGCAGGCTTCCTCCTCGACTTTGGATCACGTGACCATGGGACTCCCTCCGCATCATGGCTTGGTCTCCCTTCCCTTTTTCCTCTGGGGAATCTCAGCTGGGCCCAACCCTCCCCCTTTCCCTCCAGGCGTCCCTTCCGCCCTGCACTCCGTCCCGGAGCTCATCAAGTACCTGACCATGATCGTCTTCTCCTGCTCCGCTCACCACGAGGCCGTCAACGGAGGGCAGGTGGGTGAGGCTCCTCGGGGTCTTCCCAGGAGGGGGGGAAGGGGGCTGGTCGCCAGCAGGACCAGGTGACCCTGGAGTTTTCCATCCGTCAATTCTCCCTTCCTTCCTTCCTTCCTTCCTTCCTTCCTTCCTTCCTTCCTTCCTTCCTTCCTTCCTTCCTTCCTCTCTTCCTCCCTCCCTTATTCCAATCTCCTTCCTTTCTTCATTCCTTCCTTCCTTCCTTTCTCTCTTCCTCCCTCCCTTCTTATTCCTTTCTCCCTCCGTTTCTCCCTCCCTTCTTATTCCAATCTCCTTCCTTCCTTCCTTCCTTCCTTCCTTCCTTCCTTCCTTCCTCTCTTCCTCCCTCCCTTCTTATTCCAATCTCCTTCCTTCCTTCCTCCCTCCCTCCCTCTCTCCCTTCCTCCCCTCCTTCCATGGCCCTGTGACGGATGCCATCTTGACTTTTTTGACCACCCCCCTTCCTTCCTTCCTTCCCCTCCCATCTACTTCCTCCCTCCCACTTCTTCCCTTCCTGTCCCTCTGTCCTTTCTTATTCCTTCTTTATTTCCTTCCTTCCTCCCTCCCTTCCTCTCCCTCCCTCCCTTTCCCATCTACTTCCTCTCTCTCTTCTTCCCTCCCTCCCATTTCCTTCCTTCCTTCATCCCTCCCTCCCTTCTTATTCCAATCTCCTTCCTTCCTTCCTTCCTTCCTTCCTCCCTCCCTCCCTCTCTCTCTCCCTTCCTCCCCTCCTTCCATGGCCCTGTGACGGATGCCATCTTGACTTTTTTGACCACCCCCCTTCCTTCCTTCCTTCCCCTCCCATCTACTTCCTCCCTCCCACTTCTTCCCTTCCTGTCCCTCTGTCCTTTCTTATTCCTTCTTTATTTCCTTCCTTCCTCCCTCCCTTCCTCTCCCTCCCTCCCTTTCCCATCTACTTCCTCTCTCTCTTCTTCCCTCCCTCCCATTTCCTTCCTTCCTTCATCCCTCTCTCTTTTCTTATTCCCAATTCTTCCCTCCCTCCCTTCCATGGCCCTGTGATGGCCGCCATCTTGACTTTTGTTTTTTTTAACAAAATTTTATTAAATTTATATAGGTAAGGAAAAGTAGGAACAATACAGGTATGGTAAAGGGAGGGGTAAATGGAAAGGGGGAGGGGAAGGAAATAAGACATTAGGGTAAAATAAGGATAAGTACAATCACATATTTCAACAAACAAGCCACCATCCAGTTCATAATAATGAGTAAATATCATATTCAATCACTTTTAACAAAGCTTAAACTGGAACATATTAAAAACAATTAGTAAACAAATACGTCGATCTATTAAGTAAACACTACCGATAAGATCTAAAAAAAAAAAAAATACTCCTGACAATCAAAAGTAACCAATGAAAAATCAGGAAATCAGGAAAAGTAATTGTATCATCAAGATGGTAGTCGGCACTCGATTAAAAATCAGTCATCTATTCTAAAATGTTGAATCCTTCAAGTTCTAACGTGCCATTTTGACTTTTTTGACCCAATCCTGTGGAAACACACACCCCTTTTCCCCCACCACGTCAATATAATCCGGCAGGCGGGAACTTCTTCTGCGCAGCTGTTTTGGGTCCTCCCAAGAAATTGCTTTCTCTTCCTGTCTTTCTTCTCCTTTCCTTCCATTTTCCCGCTCGTCTATTTTAATTCGTGCATGGACGTGTTTTTTTTTTTTAATTGAAAAGTTTTATACAAATTTTGATACAATACAATATGAAATCCCCCCCCACCTCCCCCGTCCCATACCCTCCCCCCTTACTTCCCAGAGCTGATTACAGGGTTTAAAAAAAGAAATAAACAAACAAATTCTAAGAAAACTTATCCAACTATACAAAAGAAGAAGAAGAAAAAAAACCCTATAATGCTTTAACTCAAATACAAAAGGAAGATTTCAAACAAAAACATAATTAACAATATAAATAATGCCCATTTTAAACTTTAAGTGATTCAAAAACTAAGTAATACTTTCTAATCCCATATTTATTCTGTACAAAATTTATCCCTCTTCTCCAAACCGAGATGTATCTTTCTTGTGAGTGATCCTTCAAATAAGCAGAAATTTGAGCCATTTCTGCTAGATTAGAAACTTTAAATTAAGTAACCATTCTTCGACAGTAGACAAGGAATCTTTCTTCCAATATTGTCCAACCAATAAGCATGGACGTTTTTGAGCTTTTCGACTCGTTCCGAGGACGGCCTGGAATAAAACCCGGGTTTGGTCCACCTTCAGCTCGCCCCCAACTCACCACCACAGCCCAGCCTGAAACCTCCGTCGCTAAGCGAGACAATGGATGAGGGAGTTTTGCCCCACTCAATGGCCTTTCGAGTCGCTAAGGGAATCCCTGCAGGCGTTCAGTTAGTCGGACGGCCATTAAGTGGATCTGCTTGTGTCGGAAGGCTGCCAAAAGGGGGGGGAATCCCGTCATAAATACGACCGTCATAAATACGAGTCAGTGGCCAAGCGTCCAGATTCCGATCCCGTGGATGGTGGGAGAGGCTGCGACGGTCGTAAGCCTGAGAAACGCTCCCTGGTGACTTTGGCGAGTCGCTAAGTGAAACCATCGTAAGTCGAGGATTCCCTGCACAGTAT